TTATACTATTAACAGGAAATATCAAAATGACAATTTTATCAAATTTATTCAATACAAGAATCAACCGGCTGAAAGGACACCAGCCTGAGTGATGCTTTGGGAGAATCAGTATATAAACAAACTTGCTGCCCAAGTGATGCTGGGGTAAACTGTTACATGGTTAATAAAAACTGTACCTTGTGGAAAACAATGTGAATGTAATTGATGAAGCAAAAGCAACTTTTTCCTTTAGAATAAAAATGGGATTTTAAAGCCAGGCATGGTAGTGCAAGCCTGCAATCCCAGCACTCAGGAGGCTGAGCCCAGAGAATCTCCATGTGAGGTTGAGGCCAGCCTGGGCTACATAGCGAGTTCAAAGGCAGCTGAACTTTGTGGAGAGACTGTCTCAAAAAAACTGAGAGGAAAAAAAAAAATTAGGATTATATATGAAACTCATTCACTGCAACATCCACAGGCAATTCAGGAAAAGAAGCTGAAATCAGGAGTACTCAAGGTACTATTAAGGAAGCCATCATTATGGCACAGACAGAAAGACAACTATAAAATGATTAGTGGGAAATAAGTGATAACAATTTCTGGCAGGGTGTGGTGGTGCACGCCTGTAAGTCCAGCACTCAGGAGGCTGAGGCAGTAGGATCACCGTGAGTTCGAGGTGAGCCTGGGCTACATAGTGAGTTCGAGGCCCTTGTCACAAAAAACAAAAGCAGGGCCGGGGATCTAGCTCAGTGGTTCCACTGCCTGCCTCGCAAGTGTAAGGTCCTGAGTTTGATCCCCGGTACCAAAAAAAAAAAAAAAATTACCGCAAAAAACAAAAACAGGGCCAGGGATCTAGCTCAGTGGTTCCGCCACCTGCCTCACAAGTGCAAGGATCCGAGTTTGATTCCCCATACCAAAACAAATAAACAAACAAAACTAAATTCTGGCTGGGCACAGTGACTCATGTCTACTACCTCAATTGCTTGAGAGGCTGAGGCATGAGGATCCCAAGTTCAAGGCCAACCCCAGAACAAGACTGTGTCTCAAGATAATAAAAAAAAAACATGGGGGCTGGGGATTTAGCTCAATGCTTCCGACACCTGCCTTGCAAGAGCAAGATACTGAGCTTGATCCCCGATACCAAAAAATAAAAAATAAAAAAAACATGGGAAATATACCTCAACAGTAAGGCATCCCTCGGGCTGGGGATTTAGCTCAGTGGTTCGACCGCCTGCCTTGCAAGCACAAGGACCAGAGTTTGATCCCCGGTATAAAAAAAAAAAAAAAAAAAAAGTAAGGCATCCCTGGGTTTAATCCCCAGTACTGGAAAAGAAAAAGAAAAGGAGGAAGAAGAGGAAGCAAAAAGAAAACAGCATAGGTGAGTCAGGAATGGAGGAAAAAGGGATGAAATTCCAACAATGTGGTCAACACAGTTCTGAAGAGATAAAGCGTTCACGTAAATGAAAAAAACAATTAAGGTGGAGAGAAAGGGGAATAAAAATTGAGATGTGCTACTTACATGTACCAATTCCCCACAATGAATGTAATCAATGTGTACTAATAAAAATTTTTTAGCCAGGGATTTAGCTCAGTGGTTTTGCTGCCTGCTGCACAAGTGCAAGGACCTGATCTCAACCACTGGTACCAAAAAAAAAAAAAAAAAAAAAATTTTTTTAAAAAAAGTCAGCTGTGTAAATTTGAGGGAAATAAGAAGAGGTTTCCAGGCTCAGTTCAAGGATGCAAAAGCCTTAGGTCAAATTAGGCATGGTGATGCACACCTGTGATCCCAGCACTTGGGAGACTGAGACAGGAGGATCACTGCAAATTCAAAGCCAGCCTGAGCTACACAGCCAGACTCTATCTCAAAACAACAACAGGGCCGGGTATTTAGCTCAGTGGTTTCACCACCTGCTGTGAAACCACAAGGACCAGAGTACAATCCCTAGTACAAAAAAAAAAAAAAAAAAATCCAACATATAACAAACCCTTAGGACAGAAATGTGCCCAGAATGTTCAAGGACAGCTAAAAGGCACCAGTGGCAGAAGCAGTGTGTGACAGTGACAGTGAGATGGGCAAGGGAAGAGATGAGGATGTAAGAACACACTGTGGGGGCAAGCAGGACAATGAAGAATCCCAACTTTTACTTGGAATGAATGAGCCCATGCAAAGTCATGAATACAGTGACTTGAATCTGTATCAGGTAAAAACAGAAAAATGTAAGGGCCAGAGGTATGGCTCGGTCATAGAGTGCTAGGTTCAAGCCCCAGAACTGCAAAAAATATAAAAATGTATTATCTGACCAATCTGTAAGAAAACCGACTGAAAAAGGGTAGACAACTTTGGCAATTTCCTTGCATTTGGGAATGGGATTGAAAAATGAATGCCAAGATTTAGTAAGTGCAGCATATGCATCTTCATGCAGTAAAACAAAGATTTAGCGGGGAAAATGGTATCAAGAAGTATTAGCCCAGGGCCGGGGATTTAGCTCAGTGGTTACAGCACCTGCCTCACAAGCAAAAGGTCCCTATTCCATCTCCAGTACAAAAAAAAAAAAACCGGAAGTATTAGCCCAGAGGGGAAGGAAAGGCAAAGAAAAAAAAAAGAACAGAAGGAAAAAATGGAAACAAAGCTTTTGTAAATAAGGAGGGTAAGAGGAGATGAAGGAGGGTAGAGGATTGGGGAAAAAAGAAATATTAAGATATACCAGGGCCAGGAATGTAGCTCAGGCGCTGCACCTGCCTGGCAAGTACAAGGTCCTGAGTTTGATTTCTGGTACCCAAAAAAAGGATATACCGTGTACAGGTACAATGATGAATGTGATCATTATGTATATCCAAAATGTGCCAACAAAATTACTTAAAATAAATACTACCCTAAAATTTTTTAAATATTCAAGAGACTATTCAATCACATTGTTCTTGGTTTAATACTATACAGTATGTATTTTTGGCAAGAACAAAAATGTATACTGCACATCCTATCAGTACATAAGTACATGTATTTAATAAATTAAACAGTAAATGCTCAAAACTTATTTAATGTGCGTCGTGGTACACACCCAGAGGCCGAGGCAGGAGGACTGCCATGAGTTCAAGGCCAGCCTGCACTATGTTATGAATTCAAGGCCAGGGTGAACTACACAAGATCTTGTCTCAAAAAAACAAAAAACATAACATGTTTACTTTGTGGTCTCTTCAGTTACAAAGAAAACAAATTTGGCATCAAGTGAGTATCTCCATGTGCCTGCCCTGTATTACTTTAGCACACTCACAACTACCAGGGCGTTCAGTCATCTACATTCATTTATCCCTCTGCACAAGTGGACCCCTCTACCAAAAATATCACTGCTGGCTGATCGCTACCGCTTATCATTCAACATACTCGCGACAATCACTGCTGGCTGATTGCTACTGCTTGTCATTCAACATACTTGCAACACCTACTCTACACAGCCCCCATAACATAAATGGTGTCCTTTGCATCTCACCCCATGCCCCAATCAGACCACTCATCACAGCTGTCACTACTGCAATGCTGTTTAACTCATTCTCTAGTGGGTTAGTCTATAAAACTAAGGGGATCAGTCTTATTCATCTTTTATCCCAAACTTGTAAGCACATAGTGGGAAGCTCAAAAACTGCTACTAAGTAAACTAAACTAGTGGGATAGGCTGTGGGATTTAATACTGTAGTAACTCATGTTTCAATATATACAAAGTTATATGTAATCAGTATACACTGTATCTGCAATGGCTTGGGCCTAGATGTCCCCCCAAAGCCTCATGCGGTCATGGGGGACCTTTCAGAGGTGGCTAGATCTAGAGTGTGTGATGCTGGGATCAAAGTTGTGTGATTACTAAATCAGTCCACTGATTGGTTTGGCATACTTCTGGCTAGGATTAAGGGTCTGAGTGATACACTTGCCCTAGGGCGTGTTAAAGGACATAAAATGTAAAGGACAGCAAAAGGAGTAATGTTCTCTCACCTGCCTGCTTGCTGTGGACTATTTCTCCTCTGCGATCCCCCTCTGCTGTGCCACCCTGCCTTGGAGCCAGCTGACTATGAACAAAAACCTGCTCAAACGTTTGTCTCAGCAACAAAAAAAGTAACTAAAACAACATCTTAGCAAAAAATTAAGACCCCAGATTATTTAAATCACCTTTACTTTTATAAGGTACTTATAAATAACTTTGGGAGATTCTATATGGAGCCTCTATTTCCACCAAATCCATTAAAACTTAAAAAAATAAAATAAAGGGCCAGGGATTTAGCTCAGTGCTGCCGCGCCTGCCTCGAAAGAGCAAGGTCCTGAGTTCAATCCCCAGTACTGCAAAATAAATTAATTAATTAAAATTAAATTAAATTAAAAAGGTGTATGGAGCCATCGCACAGAAAATCTGATAACTCTACAGACTCTGTCGGCAGGAACCATCTGTTTTGATGTGCGTGACTGTCTATGGTTGCACTGCACAACTGACTAATGCAATCATTACCAGGAACAGTCACAGATTTTAATGGAGTCCCATACCCAGGATCTGCACTTTGAGCAAAATGCAAACATTCATCAACAATCATTCAGCTTGATTTCCCCAAGCCAGGTTTTTTAATAGTATTATGTGTACGCAAACAATGTATCTTGATAGGCATTCTTTCTTTGGTACCAGGGATCGAACTTGAGACCTTATACTTGTGAGGCAGGTGGTGGAACCACCGAGCTAAATCCTCAGCCCTTTGATAGGCATTTTCATTAACAAGCAGTACAAAGGTTTAATGTGTCAGCAGAACTGCCAGAAGTTCAGATTCTGTGGCTAAATATACTTTTACATGTCTAATGGCACTGCAACCATATCTTTAAGAAACAAATTTCATATGTAACATTCTAGATTTAAACATTTTAATCATTCCTATCAATTGTACTTGTAATTATATACACAATACAATCCAGTCCTATCATAATGCCTATCCCAAACAGATCTCATTCTAAAAGCAGAATTGTTAAACAGTAAATAAACCTAAATACTTACCACTATTGCTAACAAAATCTTCATGTAAAATAGGGAGATCAAGTCGAATTCGTTTTAAACAAGTCTGAAAATGAAAACAAATTTTTACATTTTCATCAATGTTAAGAAAGTGAATGTTGGGCCGGGCATTTAGCTTAGTGGTTCTGCCACCTGCCTTGCAAGTGAAAGGTCCCAAATTCGATCCCCGGTACCAAAAAAAAAAAAAGAAAGTGAATGACCATTTTATTCGATTCTTACTTTCTAAAGAGTTCTTGAAAAACATTATTAATTTTCCCTCTCTGCCAAAACAGATTTAAAAATAATGACCCAAAGTTGCAATTTAACCTCAACTAAATCTATCCATTTACTCTTTAGCACTGTCAATGATATTCATGATAACTGCAACCCTTACCTGAACTTCCTTTTTATTTCCCAAGTACTCAACTCTGTCAATAAAATCCTCAAATTGCAGTTTGGGGAATAGTCTATGTGCCCAGTGCTCCATGTGTCTGATGAGCGTCTTCAAGTCCTCTGCCTGGCAATAAAAATAAAAACACTGAAAGGGAGACTCATCTCACAGCTAACCCTGTCAGCACATTTTAGAACTGAAAAGCAAAGCCAAAGTCACTGGTATCATGTTTGTAAGGCTGAGAAACTTCTAGAAGGAAATTAAAAATACATAAATTTACTAAAGGTTTAGAGGATTGCAGTCTAAAAGAGCATTGGATATAGATTTTGTTTTTAATGGGGGAAAGTATCAGTATAAAACCTTAAAGTTGCCAGGCATGGTGACACATGCCTGTAATTCTGGCTGAGGCAGAAGGATTCCAAGTTGGAGGCCAAAACTGGACAACTTAGCAAAATTCTGTCTTAAAATTTAAAAACGTTGGGCCTGGTATTTAGTTTAGTGGTTCCGCCGCCTGCCTCGCAAGTGCAAAGTACCAAGTGCCATCCCCAGTAACAAAAAAAAAACAAACCTTAATCACACTTAAAACATCTTAATAATAATCACACTTGTGTCTTAGAGTTGTTAAGTAAAACCCCCAAATAAGCTTTAATAAAATGTTAACACATCTTTCAGGAATAACTAAACACTATGACAAGTCCATAAATTATATACACAGAAAAAAGCATTGAAAATTTAAAATTATAAGAGTATATTCAGAAACCCCAAGGGCAGAGACTTTCGAGAGCAATTTAAACATTCTCAAGCCATAAAAACTCACTGTATTTTAAATTCCAATTAAGATATTTTTTAAATAAAAATGAAAAACAGACTTTAATAAACAACTAATAAATGAAGTTAGAAATTCTTGCTTTTACTACCAAATATAACATTCTTTGCATACAGCATTTTAAAATATGAGAATGAACAGTTCGAAGAGCACAGCTTCCGGATCAGAATGCAGATTCAAATCTCAACTCCACCACTTCCAAACCATTCAGCTCTGTGTCTTTCTTCAAGTAGAGAATGAGTATAACACACAGACCTCATAGGGTCACCACAAAGACCACACAAGTGCCTGACACATGATAAACACTGTAGGGTTAGCCAATATGACTCCCTGACCTGCCTGGAGCCAGTGGTGAAAACCACCAACTCTAGGGCTGGGGATTTAGCTCAGTGGTTCTGCCACCTGCCTTGCAAGTACAAGGTCCAGAATTCGATCCCCGGTACCAAAAAAAAAACAAACCACCAACTCTACAATGACTAAACAACAGAACACAACAAGAACACCTCTTCTCATTCTCCCCTTCTGATAATAAAATACAAGTTTTAATTTTTTCTCTTTTTTGCATTTTGGTTTTCTGAGACCAGGTCTTGATATGTAGTCCAGGCAGGCCTCTAACTTGTGACACTCCTGCCTCAGACTCCTGTTGCTGCAGTTACTGCCGTCCGGCATCACCCCCAGCCCAAGGCACAAACAATTTCAAAACTCAAACACCTAAGATCATTTTCCACTTTCTGGGAGCCTCTTTCCTCTTTCCTCGTGCTTTTTCTTCTTCCAAGCATCTCAAAAAGTTGTATTAGACCCAAGTGACACAAGAGAAGTATGAGCTCGGAGTGTAGCTCGGTGGTAGAACACTTTGCTAGCACTTACAAGGCCCTGAGCACAGGCCCCAGCACTGCACTGCACAAAAGAAAAAAATCTAAATAGAGTAGGCTACAAATAACACATGGAGAAGATTCAGTGATGAGAAAATAAGACTTTTTTCAAGGGTAAAGTAAGAAGAAAAAACTCAGAGCACACTGATCCATGAAAGAAACAAAAAATGTGTATCCTTTATGCAAGTTTATTTATTTTACTTATTTGGGGTTTTTTTTGAGACAAGAGTCTCACTATGTAGCCCAGCCTGGCCTTGAACTCAGGGCCTCAGCCTCCTGTGTGCAGGAATAACAGGCAGATACAAACATGCCTGGCTAAGTTTACTTATATTAATAAGACTTACTATGTTTTTGTTTTTTCCTGGTACTGGGAATTGAACTCAGGACCTTGTGCTTGCTAGGCAGGTGCAGTGCCACAAGCTAATCCTCAGCCCAGTAAGGCTTGTTATGAATACAACCAGGACTTCATAAATTCAAAGCATCAATTCACCACTAGTACCCGAAAAGTTAAAAGGGCAAAGAATAAAGTGAGCTGGGTTTAGTTTTAAAAATATCCTCACTTATATTTAGCTTGTGGCAAAACAATACAGGCTTATATTCTCTCATGTCTATTAAAGTTGAGCAAATATACAATTTTTCTGCCTCCTAGGGTTGAAATCTTGAGATTATTTTGACTTTTTTCACATTCCTGTACCTCAATCACCTCAAATCTCACACATTAACACATTACTCATCTCTTACTCCTACCCTGCCCTGCCTAGTATCGCCCACCCCACTGGAACGATCTCTAGCCTAGCCGAAGTCTCTTCTCCTTCCACATTCTCCTGCACACCACACCTACAGTCATAGTTCTAGCACTATTCTAGCAGGGCTGGAACAGCCAAAGTCTAGACTCAGCTTTAGCAACTACAGTCACTTAAAACTCTAAAATTACCTTAAGAAGATAATAAAACCGACATCAACTCCACAGCCTGAAAATTAAAGAATATTTGGGAAATACTTTAAACTGCAGAGCTCTATAAAACTGTTATTACCGGGCCGGTGATTTAGCTCAGTGCTGCCACTGCCTGCCTCGAAAGCACAAGGTCCTGAGTTCAATCCCCAGTACCCCCCAAAAAACCCAAACAAACTGTATTATCATCTGTGAAAAACTCTACCTACACTCCTATATAATCCAAAGGTGAGAACATTTTTGAGCTGTACTATGTGGATGGCAGTTGTCAGTTATTAAATGTCTTCTTTTTTTTTTTTTTTTGGTACTAGGGATCGAACTCAGGACCCTGTGCTTGCAAGGCAGGCGCCAGAACCACTGAGTTAAATCCCCAGCCCCTAAATTCTTCTTCTTGAAATAAAACTTCACTGAAATCTACAAGCCAGGCACTGCGCCATACCTTGGGGGCACATAAGTGACCAATACAGGAAGTCTTTGCTCCTATGAAACTTAAAATCCGTTTTTAAAAAAAAAAAAAGAAAAAAAAAAAATCCCTTTTTGAGAGAGACAAAGTTTTTTTTTTGGTACAGAGAATCGAACTTGGGTCTTTGCGCTTGCATAGCAGGCAGCAAAACCACTGAGCTAAATCCCCGGCCTGAGACAAAGTTTTATTCCTCTAAACTCAAGCTTATAAAGTAAATTTTGACAAATGTGGTGGTGCATGCCTGTAATCCCAATAGTTGGAAGTCTGAGGCAGGAGGATCACTGGGAATTTAAGACCAGTGTGGGATACATAAACTTTATTCCTCTAATTATTAAGTACAAACTCAGGTTTATAAAATACAAAGTCAGGTATAATTTTCCTAAAGCCATAGAACCTACAGTGGCAAAGAAACAATATTTTCTAATTCTTCAAATACTACCTTTTCTACCGATTCTTTACTAATTCTTCATAGCACCTTTTCTAGCACATCACAGCTTTGTCTCAAGAGATTTGTGGACTAACAATAGTATCTATGAAACATTCTGAGATTCCCAAGAACATCCTAACAAGGCCACAGCTTCATTGGTAGTATTTTTTTTTTTGGTACTGGGGATCGAACTTGGGTCCTTGAGCTTGCGCAGCAGGCGGCGAAACCACTGAGCTAAATCCCCGGCCCCGTTGGCAGTATTTAAAAAAAAAAAAAAATTTAGGGCCAGGGATTTAGCTCAATGGCACCACGCCTACCTCAAAAACACAAGGTCCTGAGTTCAATCCCTGATATTGCAAAAAAAAATTTTTTTAAACAAAAACACAATAAAACCAAAAAATGAGCCATTTCTTACCTCATGACCTTTACCTTTGAATTTTATCTTGTCAAACACATGCCTTAAAGCTGGAAGGCCCCTCTCTGAAATTAATCTGTGAATGGAAATTTATTTTGAATTTCAAAAAGAGTTATGTCCAAACCAAGAGCAGAAGAAAAAATACTTCAACTGAAAAAGAATGTTTACCGAAATGTCTGATCTCCAAATCATCTCAACCAAAAAAGCTTTTAACATTACAAAAAAAGTAATGGCTATAAATAAAAAGCATAGACATGTAAGGAAATGGTCCAAGTACCTCTGAGCGTCCAGCCTGGGGATGTTCCTTTTAACTGTTCTCTTTGGAGGGACAGGAACAGGTTCTCTGCTCCCTGACTCTAGTGAAACATACCAAGATTTAGTATTGCTTGAGCCTTACTCATAAAACGTATCACTTCTAAGTTGATAGATGGCTAGCTGAACAAGGGACATTTTTGTGAAATTCTCAATGCAGACCTTCAGACTGGCATGGTGGTGCACTCCTGTAATCCCAGCATTCGGGAGGCTGAGGCAGGAGGATAGCCAAGAGTTGAAGGCCAGCCTGAACTATGGAGATCCTGTCTAAAAAAAATCAATGCAGACCTTCATCTGGTTCAGCTCCTTCACCATCTCTCTGCAGAGAGACTGGAGGTGGAAACGGAGGGAAGGTTTCATCTTCTATATGTTCATAATCTGGTAGGTCAATCAAGCCATCCACTTGTGGTTCTAGCATCTTCTTCTCTGGGGGAAAACAGTATATTTTTATTTCTTAAAACAGTCTTATTACACAGTCGAGTTTCATCTGCAACATAATTCTTGAGTTTCAGTTAAACTACATTTCAAAGTCATACATCATAAAAAGAAATACTGCCGGACTGTTTATTAATAGCTAATCTTGGAAACAGCTGAAATACCCATCAACTGATGAATGGATAAAGGTATACTTTTTGTATACAATGGAGTATTACTCTGCCATAAAGATGAGCCTGAGACATTTCTAGCTAAATGGATGCACCCTGAGACATTCTCTTAAGTGAATAAATCGGACACACACACTTAAATACTTCATTGTTTCTCTGCTGCGAGAAACCAAAAATGTATAAAAGATAATGGGAAATGGGAAAATGTTCAAATGAGAAGGGGAACAAGGTGGCGGGGAAGGGACAAGGAAAAAAATGGAAACGAAGTTTTTGTAAACAAGGTGAGAGCCGGGGATTTAGCTCAGTGGCACCACACCTTCCTCGACAGCCCAAGGTCTCGAGTTTGATCCCCAGTACCCCCCCAAAAAAAAGGAGGGGAAGGGGTTGAAGGCAGGGAAGGGGAAAGGGAAAAAAAGCAAGATGTATCTTATACAGGTACAAATTCCCTATGATAAATGTTATCATTATGTGTATCTAAAATGTACCAATTAAAAAAAAAATGGTGCTGGGTGTGGTAGCACACACCTGTAATCCCAGCACTCCAGGAGGCTGAGGCAGGAAGATGACAACCTGGGGCTTGGACCACTTGCACACTTGGCGAGACTCTGTCTCAAAAATAAGGCTGTAAGGGCCAGAGATTTAGCTCAGTGGCTTCGCCATCTGCTGAGCAAGCACAAGGACCAGAGTTTGACCCCAAGTACCAAAAGCAAAAAAATAAAATAAAATAAAATAAGGCAGCTGTGGATATAGTTTAGTACCAAGGTCCTATATTCAACTCAGTACCACAATCAATCAATAAATAAATAGAGAAGATGGGCCGGGGATTTTGCTCAGTGGTTTCGTTACCTGCTGAGCAAGCGCAAGGACCACAGTTCATCCCAGTACAAATAAATAAATAAATAAATAAATAGACAAGATAATTTTCTGGGAAATGTAGCACATCCCTATAATCCCAGCACTCCTGAGGCTAAAGAAGGAATATCACTTAAATCCAGGAGTTTGAGATCCTGTCTCAAAAAAAAAAAAAAGATTTTTGGGGAAAATTATGGAGGAAAGGGATTAGGCTAGAAATCAGAACTAAGTCATAACCTGAACATGATTTTGAACAAAGCATTTTACCCTAACTGTTGAGTTTACCCTACCATAAGAAGACTAACTTGACTTTTTAGAAGACTTTAAACTGTGACCCAAAAGGATGTGAAATAGGTGGAATTTCACTCCTACTTCAAACAGAGCAGTTTTATTCAGTGCTGAGGAGGGAACCCAGGCCTTGAGCATTCTGGACAAGTTCTTTATCAGAAAGCTACATCCACAGCCCAAAAGCACCTTTTGAAAGAAAAAAATCTGTTTATGTATCCTTTTTGGCAAAGTCTCCTTTGAGGAATGGGAAATTATCCTCATGCTCATTACTCAAATGATTACCCTTCAATACTGTCTTACTTGACCTCTCAGCTACATGGACACTTTTGGTCAGTCCCTTTTTCTGGAAAAAATGTTTCCCATAACTCAGTAGGCACCTGGTTTTTCTCCATCTCAAAATAAAAAATAAAAAAGGCTGAGAAATGTAGCTCAGTGGTAGAGCTCTGGCCTAGCATGTGTGAGGTCCTGGGTTCCCCCAGTAACCTCTTGCCAAAAAATTTAAAAGCTTCTCCAAAATTCCAAGGTTGACTGAAACAATTGCATAATCACAAAAATTTCTCCAATTCTAAATTTCTTTTTTCTTTTTTTTTTTTTGGTACTGGGGATCGAACTCAGGACCTTGCGTTTTCAAGGCAGGCACACTGCCACTGAGCTAAATCCCCGGCCCTTTTTCTTTTTTGAGACAGAGTCTCAAGATATAGTTCAGGCTAACTTTGAACTTGATTCTCCTGCCTCAGCCTCCTGAGTGCTGGGATTACAGCCATGTGCCACCACCCCAGCTCCAATTCTAAATTTCTATGACTATGAGTACTCCTGATGACAACCTACACTGTATATTCAAGTAAGCTACAAGAATCATAGATTTTCAAAATTAGAAAGCCTGCTAAAGGTCACATAATCTAAAGTAGCTTCAAAACTACAAGCAGCATATTTAGGGCAGGGGATGTAGCTCAGTGGTCAAACCCTTGCCCAGCTCATTCCAGACCCTGTGATCAATCCCCATCACTGCCACACATAAAAAAAAGCAAAAACCTAAGTATATCTAACCCCACTTTTATTAAAATCTGTGTATTAGTGAAGTACTGAACTTTGAGGTTGACTGGGAGCCCTGAGTTTGATAGGATACAAAACTATGTTTACATTTAAGTGTAGCAAGGAACTGTTAAACATAGGGTGGGGCTTGTGAGGGACCTGATTTTCCTTAGTATTTGTGGGAAATACAATGTTTACACTTCTTTCACTCCTTCACAAAGGCCTCAGTAACTGTCTCTTTTTGAGACATTGATGAAGACATCTTAACTTCCTCCTCTGGTCCTCATTCCCATTAGACTGAAGGCAACAAATTTAATTTCCAAACCACAATTCGTTCCTAAATCCTTGTTTCAAGTGTCCGACTTTTTCCTACCTGTCAAAAGAGAAGCCCCGCTGAGCATGGTGCAGCACACCTGTAATGCCAGCCCTCTGGAGGCTGAGGCAGGAGGATAGCCCCGAGTTCAAGGCCAGCCTGGGCTACACAGTATGTTCAAGGCCAGTTGGGACTACACAGGGAAACCCTGTCTCAAAAAACCCCCAAAACAACCAGAATCCCCTGGGGCAACCTACTTTCCGGACCTCCTTTCTCCCTTGGAAGCTATCTTTCTCTCAATAAATTCTTCCTACTCTTAAAAAAAATAAAAATAGATGCTGGGGATTTAGCTCAGTGGTTTCGGCGCGCCTGCCTCGCAAGCACAAGGTCCAGAGTTCGATCCCCGGTACCAAAAAACAAACAAAAATAAAAATAAAAATAGGGCCGGGGATTTAGCTTAGTGGCGCCGCGCCTGCCTTGCAAGCGCAACATCCTCAGTTCGATCCCTGGTACCGCAAAAATTAAATAATTAAATAAATTTTAAAAATAAAAATAATCCTTCGTTGGGCACGCTGGCGCAAGCGTGTAATTCCCTCCCATTCTGGGAGGCCATGGCAGAAGAGCAAGGTAGAATACAGGCTAGGCAATTTAGCGATTTGGCCAGACGTCCCAAAGTCTAAAAAAGAAAATGAAAAAAGGCTGGAGTTGTAACCTCGTGCAAAGGCCCTGGGTCCGATCCCCAGGACCATTCAGAAGAAAAAAAAAATCTCTCGTGGCAGGGGAACCCCTACCAAGCTGACTGGAAGTCCAACACTAAAACCTCACCCTTCCCTTCGTCCTCTGCATCCCCGTCCTTCCACTCCCACAGAAGGGCCGCCCTCGCGCACAAGGGCGGGAACCTGACGGGTTGGACGCGGCCGCCCATCCTGGCCCCCTCACGGATATTCGCGCTCCGTCTGGCCACCGAGGTCTCGCCCTGCAGCCCCCTTCCCCGTCTGAGGAGTCCCGACTTCCCGTCGCCGCAATGGACGCCGGCAGCCTCTCCCACTCTCACCTAGCACGGACCGCGATGGCTACACATCGACAACCGGAGTGGATCTCGCGAGCCTCTGAACTCCCGCCTCGAGAGGAGACCTGGCTTTGGCGCCAAATCTGCGCACTGCCGGGGTGGGACCTCCAGGCCCCACCCCGCCTGGTTCCGCCCCCCGGGGTGAGCGCGTCCCACCGCTTCCGGGTTCCGGAGTCTGGCTGAGTTGCTGTCCTCCAGTTGGTCCTACGGTTTGGTTGTTGCTTTATATGCCCTGAGCTTTGGGGATAGGCTTTCGTGTGGTGGAAAGTTGGGTTGTGGACAGAATGCAAAGAGTGATAAGGGTTTGGGGTAAGAGATGAGTACCGCAGTGCCTTGAACGCGACCTTTGTAAGAGCTGAGAAGAGAGATGGTAAAGATTTAGGGTTAGAAGTGTACACAGGCACTCGGGAGGCTGAGGCAGGAGGATCACTGCTAATTCGAGGCCAACCTGGGCTACATACCGTCAGCTTGTCTCAAAAAGAAAAAAAAGTGTACACACAAAAAAATTCCAAAAACATCTTTTCTGTTAAAAAAGCATTGTGAGAGCTGGGGATTTAGCTCAGTGGTTCCGCTGCCTGCCTCGCAAGCTCAAGGACCCGAGTTCAAAAAAAAAATTCTCATACACAAGGGCCTGGGGACCTAGCCCAGTGGTGCCACGTCTGCCTTGTAAGCCGAAGGGCCTGAGTTCCATCCCTGGGGAATTTAGCAACTAGTGAGACCTTGTTTCTCAATCAATCAGTGTTGGGGTGTATCTCAGAGCAAGACCCCTGTGTTCAATCCCCAGTACCAGAAAAAGGGCCTAAGGCTATAGCTCAGTGGTAGAGGCCTCTAGATAAAATCCCTTGTACTGCAAAAATTAATTTTTATAAACTATCCATGTAGGCAGGCGTGGTGGTGCACACCTGTAATCCCAACACTCAGGAGTCTGAAACGGGGATCACCAGGGGCCAGCTTGGGCTACAGAGTAAGTTCAAGGGCAGGCTGAACTACATAGGAAGATCTTGTCTTAATAAATTAATTAATTAATTAAACTATATGCAGTCAGTTTGGACTTTTGAGCTTGCTTTTCTCCATTGTGTTTGTTTGGTTTTGGTTTTTTGAAACAAGGTGTTGCTCTGTAATTCAAGCTGGCCTTGAGCTCACTGTATAGCCCAGGCTAGCCTTGAACCCCTGGCAGTCCTCCAGCCTGAGCCTCCCAAATACTGGGATAACAAGCATGTGCCACCACGCCCAGCTCTTCATATTTTGTTCTGTGATTTTTTTTTTTTTTGGTACTGGGGATCGAACTCAGGATCTTGTGCTTGCAGGGCAAGCGCTGGAACCACTGAGCTAAATCCCTGTCCCTGTTCTATAATTTTTGACACTGCTCCATAGAGCTGTAATGTAAAATAATTTGACATCTGTATACAGCTCTATTATTAAATACATCACAGTTTCGGTAGGCATCCTGTCATGGGTGGATTTGCTGTCAGTGTCCACAATACTAGGATGAGCCCAGGGCTGTGCGTGCACTCTACCACTGAGCTCTAATCCCAGCCCACATTGGTGAGTGCTTGGAATAGTTGCAGTTGTTTTGCAACTGTGAACAGTACTCCTAAAGGGCATGTTTTTTTTGTTTGTTTGTTTTTGTTTTGAGACAAGCTCTCACTATGTAGTTTAGGCTGGCCTCAAACTCACTATGTAGCCCAGGTTAGCCTTGAATTTGCCGAAATCCTCCTGCCTCGGCCTCCCGAGTGCTGGGATTACAGGAGAAAGCATTCTTATATATGCACTTGATATGTAGATTCTTAAACATGTAACATACATGTTAAAAGCACAAAGACTCAAGAAGATAGGAGGGACTAGAGTCCATGTCACAGGTGGGGGCAATGGGTTCTGGTGGGGAGGGTGGCGCTTGTCCCTCTAATAGGAAGGACAGATCGGCACAGTGGCACACATCTGTAGTTCCAGTTCTTGGGGGGCTGAAGCAGGAGGATCATTGCAAGTTTGAGCCAGCCTAGACTACATAGTGAGTTCAAGGCCAGCCTGAACTATGTAGTGAAACCTTGTCTCAAAAAAGCAAAAACAGGGCTGGGGATTTAGCTCAGTGGCACCAACCCTGTCTTGTAAGCGCAAGGTCCTGAGTTTGATACCTGGTACAGCCAAAATAATAATAAAAATAATAGGAAGGACGGGGAGGTTAGCTGCAGGTGTGCTGGGTTTGTGACAGGAAGTTAGGGGTTAGTAAAGATGACCTGGTCGCTCAGGGATGAGGTTCTCTCAGGTCAGTGCAAAGGAAGGGGAGAGGGACCTGAAGTATTTGCAGAAACCGATGGCCTTTGGGTTGGAACTGACAGAGGTGACAAGGACAGGAACAGGGTGAGTGACAGTGGGAGTGGAAATGACTTTGAGCTCAGCGTGGGATGGGGCTTTGTTTCCAGGAAGGCACTTGAGCAAGTCAGCTGGGAGAACTGCAGGCTGCAGGCAAGGGATGAAGTGTGTAAATTGGTGACACCAGAGCACCAGGCATGTTGGTGCACACCTGTAATCCCAGCACTCAGGAGGCTGAGGCAGGAGGATCGCCATGAGTTTAAGTCCAGCCCCGGAATACACAGTGAGACCCTGTCTTAAAAATTAATTAACCTTTTTAAATAAATGAATAAACATAATGTGTGACATTGGACATAGAGAAACCCAAACCCAGGCCACCAGCCAGCATTTCCTTAGAGCTCACAGCTCAAGTCCAGTGGACTCAAACCCATCACTTACTGCCCCAGTTCCATCAGTTCACTGAAACAGGATCCCATGGTCACCGGGCCTCTTCGCAATCTCACCTCATCCTCACCTCACCTCACCTCATTTCTGACCTGAACCCCTGGCTCCCCTGGCTCCAGTTTTGTGCAGGCTGTTTCCGGTCTGCTAAAGCTTGGAGCTGCTCCTCACTTTTGTTTTGCTTTATTTTTTTGAGACAGGATCTTATCAACTGACTTTGTAGCCCAGGCTGGCCTCAAACTCACAGTGACCCTCCTGGCTCAGCCTCCAGAGTGCTGGGATCACATCTGTGTGCTATCACATCTGGTTTTAGGTCCCTCCCCCAACTTTCCAGTACCGGGGATCAAACTCTGGACCTTGTGCTTGCAAGGCAAGCGACAGCACCCCTGAGCTAAATCCCCAGCCCCAATTAAGGGGCTTTTTAACACTGTGAACCGCCTTACATCCAGTCGTTTTAGAAGAGCGTTCTCACCAGAGGAGGGAGCGCGGGAGCTGTTTTGGAAGTGTTTTCACAAGCAAGAAGAGGTTTGTACATAAAAAGTTAATTTCAAAGATGTTATTAAAAATACAGAAAAGGCCAGGGATTTATCTCAATGGTTCTTCCACCTGCCTTGCAACCACAAGGACCCAAGTTCGACCCCTGGTACCAAAAAAAAAAAAAAAAATACAGAAAATTTCCCAGATGGCATTTCAGTGGCAAAATTTTTTTAGAACACAGTATGAACTACGAAAGAAAAAGACCAATGAATTGAACTTCATCAAAATTGAAAACTATTGGGCTGGGTGCATGCATATAAAAAGGCCCTGTCTCAAAAACCAAAACCAAAAATAAAATAGTGGCAAGGATAGAGAACTCTAGAACTTTCCTACAGTGCTGAGGGAAATGTAAATGTTCAAATACTTAAGTGTCTCTTGAAGTTTCTTAAAAAGTTAAACATGCACTTGTGGCTTGACCTAGCCATTCCACTTTTAGTTATCTAACCACAAGAGATGAATTTAAATCCATACAAAGATTTGTACAAAAGCAGGGGTTGGTGATGGACGCTTGTAATCCCTGCACTCTGGGAGGCTGAGGCAGGAGGATCATTAGTTTGAGCCCAGCCTGAGCAACACAGTGACTTGGATCCCATCTCAAAATAAAAAATAAAGACCACTGAGCTCTTTTTCACAGTGGCCGCTCTCACCCTGTAGAGTCTACTCCTTTTCCTACTTTAATTGGCCTTCACTCGCTCTACAGAGCATGTTTCTTCTCCTACTTTTTTTTTTTTTGGTACCAGGGATCAAACTTGGGACCTTGTGCTTGCGCGGCAGGCGCCAGAACCACTGAGCTAAATCCCCAGCCCTCTTTTCCTACCTTTAATAAATGTAAAAGCTCACTTAAAAAATAAAAAAAGGCTGGGATGTAGCTCAATGTGAAGGTCCTGGGTTCAATCCCCAGTACCAAAATAAAATAAATAACTGAATTAAAGATGTCTGTAGCAGCTTTATGTGTAATAGCCTCCCCCTTAAAAGCAAAACAAAACAGGAAAACCTCCCAATGTCTGTCAAAAAGCAGACCAGATAAATTGTGGGTGACCACAAAATGGCATACTGCTCAGTAGTCAATGGATTCGGGGGGTCGGGGCAGTACTAGGGATTGAACCTAGGCCCTTTGCCCTGAACTGCATCTCCACCCCTTTTTTTATATTTTTCTTGGAGACAGGGTCTTGTTAAATTGCTAAATTCCCCAGGCTGGGCCAACATTTGATCTTTCTTCCTGCCTCAGCCTCCCAGAATGCTGGGTTTAGATGTGTGCACCACCACACCTGGCTTAATGGATTCTTGATATATACGGCAATGGGGGGGTTGCTGAAGTAGTCACACTGAAAGAAGCCAGAGAATACATAGATCACATACTACACAGTTATACATGTAGAGAGAATGCAAGCTTGTAGTGGGGAGAAGGGACAGACATGGGGACCCTAAAGGGCCACAAGAGGACATTGGTGAGGGATGATGTATATGTTCATTGTCCTGGTGGTGGTGTTGGTTTCTTTACAGTTTAGATTCTTAAAGTTCGTAAAAATTTTTAAATTAATATTTCAAAATAAAATACAATTAATATTTCATCTGGGTGTTGTGGCATATTCCTATAATCAAGGCACTTGGGAGACTGAGGCAGGAGGATCGCTGTGAGTTTGAGGCCAGCTTGGAATACACAGGGAGACCTTGTCTCAAAAACTAAATGAATAGGGGCAACCCACTTTCCAGTCCCCTTTCTGTCTCTCTTAGACAGAAGCTGTCCTCTCAATAAATTTTTCCTACTCTTAACCTCTGCTGTTCCTAGAATTCATTCTTCAATTTTAGAAAACATGAACTCATGTTTTGGATATCTAGCAGGTTGGGAGTTATAATATCGCCCTTGTTTGGATTACTTTTGTTTATTTGGATACAATTTTTGGACTATTGTAGTACCCTGTATCATTTTGGATGTCTTCCCACCAAGATCACCAGACAGAGATCATATCAAGAATACTCATAGAGGGCCAGGGATTTAGCTCAGTGGTTCTGCTGCCTGCCTCACAAGTGCAAGGATACGAGTTCGATATCCAGTACCAAAAAAAAAAAAAAAGAATACTCATACACAAGGGGGTGGGGACTTAGCTCAGTGGTCCCACGTCTGTCTTGTAAGCCGAAGGTCCTGAGTTCCATCCCTGGTACCAGAAAAAATAAAAAAAAAGAAAAGAATACTCATACACAGAGACTAAAGTGGCCAAAAGTAAATGCAGGAAAATCTCAGGGGCAAACAACATACATTTGACTCCCTCTACTACTGGAAAAGGAAAATAGGAATCCACAGGACAAAAGATTGAAGATTGAAGAATCTCTACCCCATCATCAAAATGCTAATGTGGAAATTTATGGATATAAAACTGAACCCCGGAAGTATTTCCTGACCAACACCATTACTACACATAGTTTCAAACTCTGTTTAGGACTGCTAAATCTCAAAAATGCCCCAACTTGATGGGTCACTGTGTGAAAGAAATAAAACATTCAGCTTTATAGCTGAGACAGGAAGCTAAGCAGGGACAATTACACATGAAGTACCTAAAATAATAATTGATGCATATGTCTTTATTGCCTGCTGTTTTGTAAGTGTACCTTTACAACCTACTCTCCCTGGTGTGGGTGTGCATTGAGGGAGGGTGGGAGGCAAATACATAATATCTAGGAGAGGACCGGGGATTTAGCTCAGTGGTTCCCATCCCTGCCTTGCAAGCTCAAGGTCCCGAGTTCGATCCCCGTTACAAAAAAATCAAACAAACAATATCTAGGAGTGCTACTGTGGTCTACATGTTATGGTGTATCAAGGTTAGCTGCACATTGTTTGCCACTCTTCCTATGGAGAGGCAGAGTCTAACTCCTCTCCAGAGAATCAGGCTTGGCCTGAGAGACTTGATGAATCAATGGATTTTTTTTTTCCATTACCAGGAATTGAGCACCAGACCTTGCACCTGCCAGGCAGGCATGGTGTCCCTGAGCTAAATCCCCAGCCCAGGGATGTTTTTTAAAAAGCAGAAGAAGTGTAAATAAGGATTAAAATGATTAAAATAAATAATTGATAATGTGAAATAGGAAAAGGTCCAAAGGTGTAGGGGTGGTGGGAGGGGAAGGGGAAAGGAAAGAAGGGAAAGGAAAAATTACGAGAAAAGAAAAAAAAAAGGAAGTGATATCTACATAAATAGGAAAGGGTGGAGGGGGTGAAGGGCGCACAGGTAATGGGGAAAAAAATAAGAATCAAGATTCATCATGTAGAGGGACAAGTACCCAATAATAAATGTAAACGTATTGTATACCTAAAATGTACCAATAAAAGAATTTTTAAAGAAAAGGTAGAGGAAACTTGCTCTTGGAATCATCTTCCTGTCTCAGCCTCCCAAGCGCTGGGATTACAGGGGTGCATGATCATGCCCAGCCTCCAGCATTATTTTAAAAACAAAAACAAGGGCCGGGGATTTAGCTCAGTGGTTCTGCCACCTGCCTCAAAAGCACAAGGTCCCGAGTTTGATCCCTGGTACCAAAATAAAATAAAATAAAATAAAAAATCTTTATGAACTAAATTCAAATGGCATCAATTTTGCCAATTTCTATTTTTGGCCCTGAATTCATAAAACTGAAAAGAAATATTGATTATGATATATCCAAGTATACTGAGTTTATACAAATTTTGCTTTGATATCAGTTGAAATTGAAAGTATAAACATTGGAGAGATGTAAAGGAAAAATAATTATATTATTATTATTTATAGCATTGTCAAAATCTTTAGTGTCTTTATAATTGGAAGCATTTGAAAATGTCACAGCCAAACAAATCTACCTGCAAATATCAAACAACTAATTTTACCAGTGTACTATTTGCAAAGTATCTGAGACATGTGTGTGTGTTTTGTGGTACTAGGCATTGAACCCCAAGCCTTCACACTGAACTACATCCCTAGACCATTTTCTAATATTTTTTATTTTGAGACAGAGCCTCGCTAAGTCACTAAATTGCTCAAACTGGGCTAGAACTTGGACTTGGGATCCTCCTGCCTCAGCCTCCCACGGTCCTTGAAATCACAGGTGTGCATCATCACGCCTGGCTACCAGACTTTAAAAAATCACTGGGCTAGGCTTGGTGGTGCATTGTCTATAATGTCAGCTACTTGGGAAGCTGAGGCGGGAAGGCTGCAAGTTTGAGGCTAGCGTAAGTGAGTTGGCAAGACTGTATCTCAAAGGAGTATTTGTTTTTCAGTACCAGGGATCAAACTTGAGGACCTTGGGCTTACCAGGCAGGTGCGGCACCACTAAGCTACATCCCTGGCCTGCTCAAAGTAGTATTTTAAAAAGGGCTGAGGATGTAGCTCAGCTCTCCTTGGATTCAACTCTTAGTAGCATAAAAATTTAGAAAGGATGCCCTTGTTCTGTCCGCTAGACCTTCTGAGGTGTCTTCCTGTTTATGAATTGAGGCATCTTTCTGTTCACAATGACTCCCTGCTCACCATGACTTCTCTAATTCAGCCCTAAAATTCTAAGGTGAACTCAATCTCTTGGGTCTAAATCCAAAAGTCCCACAGCACGTGCCAGTCTGCAGCCTGGTTTCAAAGTCTACCTGTCAGGAGAGGGCATGAAAAGGGGCAAGGATGAATAACAGCCTCACGGTTCCGCAGTAATCCAAGGACATCGTGGTGTTATTGCTATGGTAACAATCACACACAATCACTTTGCATTTTGGGGCCTATACAATTAAGGCAATCTGAAAGGCTGTGGAGAGGCTTCTTGCTTCCTGGGAGTATATAAAATTACAAATCATGATGTGATTTGAATAATTATAGTTCATAGTATTTTTTTTTTTGAGATGTGGTTTCCCTATGTAGCCCAGGATGGCCTTGAACTCCTGGTGATTCTCCTGCCTCAGCCTCTTGAATGCTGCGATTACAGGCCTGCCCCACCACGCTTGCCATTTTATTCCCAATACCTTAAAATACACAATAACTCAGGACTGTGTGTCCTGTGTAGTGCATTACTGGAGGTGAAACTCTTTTTTTGGCAAATTCTCAGCTCTCTGGCTCTAAAGGGTCCTGAAGGTGGCTCTACCCACATAGGTGCCCCAGGCTCTGGTCATAGCTCTAGGTCCCTCCAGCCCAAGTGGCCTCTCATGTTCAGTTTCCTGCCTGAAAAGCACTGGCAGGCAAAGGATGATACACGGATTCTTGCAGAGGAGGAGGAGAGAAGGAAAAAAGAATGATAGCAAGCACTTGCATGACCATCCTGCAAAAGGGAGCTGAGAATGAGTCTTCCCAGGACCCTCTGGGATTGCGAAGGAAGCCAAGACTTCCTGCCTCCAGTCGCCTCTGGGACACCATGGTGAGTCTCTGGTCCTGGTGCTGTGCTGCCCAGGCAAAGAGCTGCCATGCACAGCTGCCAGCTAGGCGTTACCAAGCCAGGGGTGGTGCGGGGCTGAGCTGCTGCCTGGGCAGCCACATCCTTTGAGAGCAGGGGAAGCTCAGCTCCCACGGCTGGGGAGGCACCTTTGCCTTTAAATGAAGGACAATGACCTCCACAAGCAGCTCCCAAAATAACCCAGTGCTTTCAATGCCATTGGAAGCATCTGACATCAGGGGCCAGGAAGCAGATGCAGCTGGGGGTGGGGAGTCACCCTGCACACCTGACTCTTCACTCAGCTCCAGGGACAGCTGCCAGCCTCAAGGATGCTCATGGTCCCCAGCTATTTACTTTAAACATTGTCGGACCGGGGATTTAGCTCAGTGGTTCCGCTGCCTGCCCCAAAAGTGCAAGGACCCAAGTTCAATCCCCAGTACCAAAAAAAAAAAAAAAAAGAATGTAAGACTTTAAACATTGTCACACTTAGCCAAGTGTGATGGCGTATGCCAGTGATCCTAGCATTCGGTAGGCTGAGGCAGGAGGAACTCCTGGAGTTCAAGGCCAGCCTGGGCTATATAGGAAGACCTTGTCTCAACAAGACAAGACAAAACAAAATAAAAAGTTTTCCAAAGTATTTCTTTTTCTTCCAGCTAAATTGTTTTGTTTTGGTCTCATTATACAGTCTAGGCTGGCCTTGAACTTGCTATGTATGTAACCTAGGTGGACCTCAAACTCTTGATCCTTCTGCCTCAGCTTCCTGAGTGCTGGATTATAGGCAAGTGCCACTCCACTCAGCTGCTAGAACTTATTTCATTGACAGGTAACGTGGACAGAAAAGTACACAAATAAAAAACAGAAGTACATGAATCACAAATAAAACTGTCTACGCAGCACGTAGATCAAGAAAGCAAACTTTTTTTTTTGGTACCGGGGATTGAACTCCGGTCCTTGCGCTTGCACAGCAGGTGGTGAAACCACTGAGCTAAATCCCCAGCCCAAGAAAGCAAACATTATCAGCACCCTGAAAACCCCTCCATCCCACTGTCCGGTTATTTTTCTGTTTCTTTGTTTTTGAGACAGAATCTTGCTATGTAGCCCAAGTAGGGCTTGAACTCACAGTGATCCTCCTGCCTCAGCCTCCTGGGTGCTGAAATTTCAGGCACGCACAGCTATGCTGGCTAGAGGTTTGCCAATGTTTGAAGTTTATATGGAAGGAAAAGCAGTGGGTTTTTTTGTGTCTAGCTTCCACTACCCCATAGGACATTTGTATGAGTCATTCATAACGTTGCGAGGAGTTTTGCTGTATTTTGCAGTGGCATACCGGATCCCGCTGTGAGCATGTACCGCAATTTCCCCATTTACATCAATGGACTTCTCGGTTGTCTCCCCATAACTGTTACAAATAGTTCTCTAAATATGTTTGTGCAGTTTGAGGGTGAACATATGTGCAGATTTCTGTAAGTCTATGCCTAGGAGTAGAATAGCTGGCCATAGGGTAGATAGAACTGTGGCCTTAGTAAATACTGTGGGTTTTTTTCTTATTGGTACTGGGAATGGAACTCGGGACCTTGCGTTTGCCAGGCAGGCATGGTGCCACTGACCTACATCCCAAGCTCAATACTGCATTTTTCAAACTGCTCACACAAGTTTACATTCCCGGGAGAAGAGAGTCTTGGTTGAGCCGCGTCCTTGGTTGGTTTGTTTTGTAGGGCTGGGATCAAACAGGGCTCCTACAGGCTGGGCAAGCGTTAGACCACTCTCACCCCCAAGTCATCAACTTTAATGTAGTCTAACTTCCTTTTTCCTCTATGATTTGTGTTTTTTGACTTGTTTAAGAAATTTGTGCCTGCCTTGCAACCGCAAGGTCCTGAGTTCAATCCCTGGTACTAAAAAAGGAAATCTGTGCTTATCCCAATGTCTTGAAGATATCCTCCAATATTTTCTTCTAAAAGATTCACTTAGAAGCCAGGCGTTATGGCGGATGACTGTCATCCCACTGTTCAGGAGGCTGAGGCAGGAGGATTTCCATGAGTTCAAGGCCAGCCTGGGCTACATAGTGAGTTCAAGGCCAGCCTGAACTGTACAGTGAGACCCTGTCTCAAAAAACAAACAGGCTGGGGATTTTGCTCAGTGGTTCTGCCACCTGCCTTGCAAGCACAAGGTCCCAAGTTCGATCCCCAGTACCAACAAACAAATAAACAGGAGCTGGGGATTTAGCTCAATGGTGCTGCACCTGCCTCGCAAGTGCGGGGCCCTTAGTTTGAGCCCTGGTACCAAAAACAAACAAAAAAACCTCAGTTCTACAATAATATACCCAGAATTGAATTGTTATATATCATGTGACATGTGGGTCTTGACTGTTTTGTTTTGAGACAGGGTCTCTCAGTTCAAGCTGGCCTTGAACTCACTAGAGCGCCCAGCCTGGCCTCCAATTCATAGTGATCCTCCTGCTTCAGCCTCCTGAGTACTGGATCCACAAGTTATTATCCCATTATCCTCTGACCTCCTGCTACAGGGCCTCCTCCCTGCAGGCCCAGGCTACCACTAGCATACCTTCTGTCTTTAGGCACTCACCTTTGCTGAGCCTTGCATGTGCACAGAATGATAGAGTTAAGTGTGGTCTTTCATGTCAAGCTGCTTTTCTGCAAATGTTTCCAAGGATCTTCCACTCGGGCATCTGTTATGTGGTTTCTATGGCTTCTACCTTCCCTTCCTTGGCTGAGTAACATTGACTTGTATGGCTATGTCACATTTTCTTTATCCATTTTCCAGGACAACTGGGCAGTATACAGCTTTATCTATTATTTATTTATCTATACAGTTGCTATAAACTTTGTTTATAAGTGTGTGCTAGGGATCGAATGCAGAGCCTTGTGTGCGCCAGGCAAGTGCTCTACCATTAAGCTGCATCCCCAGCCCTCCAAGGTTCACATTTTAAAAACTTTTAGACAAGTGCTGTGGTGTACACCTGTAGCCCCAGCACTCAGGAGGCTGAGGCAGGAGGATCACTGTGAGTGGGAGGTCAGCCTGGGCTACAGAGCAAGGCTCTGTCTCAAAACAAAACAAAAAAATTAGATTTTTATTATATCACAAACATTACAAACGTAATTTTCCTACCTCATTAGTTTGGCACTTACATCTTTTACAGTATAAGGCAGTTTTTGTTCCTATGGAAAATTTTAAATGTTTGCGAGGTGAATTTTACCCATCTTTCCCTTTATGGTTTTAGGGTTCACATTTTTCTTAGAGTCGCTTTCTCCATTCTAAAAAGACGTGGTTGCCCTCAAATTTGTGATCCTCTTGCCTCAGCTTCCTGAGTGCTGGGTTTACAGGCGTAGGCTACCATGCCTGGCTCATGATACATTTTCATCACTGGTTGCCTTGGTATTTCTATTTATGATCTAATTACATTGTGCAAGTATGAGATGAGCCACACGGCATTGCCAATATTCAAACTTTTCTCCTCAGTACTGAGGCTTGAGCCCAGGGGTTTTCTACTATTGAGCTACAGCCTCGGCTCTTTTTTTTTGGTACCTGGGATCAAACTCAGGACCTTGCGCTTGCCAGGCAGGTGCGCTGCCACTGAGCTAAATCCCTGGCCCCCTCAGCTCTTTTTATTTATTTTTTATTTTGAGATAAGGTCTTGCTAAATTGCCCAGGCTGGTGGCAAACTTGTGATCATCCTGCCCCAGCTGCCCTAGTAGCTGGGATTGTAGGTGTGCACCATCAGGCCTTGTTGAAATTTTTTTGACCTACAAACCCAGCAACCTGATTCAGTGTAACATTTATGTAAAGTGTTTATCATTCTGTGGTCAGTGGTTCACAAATGTTTCTATGGTCAGCATTTGTGTTACCCACTCAGGAAAAGCTGGGAGAACTGATGAATCACTGCCTGGAAAAGGAAATGAGGGAAAGGAACTCTCTAGCCTTGAAATATTCTAAAAATTTTTTCTTTTTTTTTTTTTCTTTTTTGGTACCAGTGATCATACTTGGGTCCTTGCACTTGTGCAGCATTCAGAGAAACCACTGAGCTAAATCCCCGGCCCTATTCTAAAAATTTTAATCACTAGGCCAGTTCTTGATCTAGACTCTCTCAGGCCACAATAAAGCCGTAGGAACAATAGTCAATGGAGGCCTAGCCTCCGCAGCAGCCACAGAATCCAAACATTTCAGTTTTGGAAGGAGCTTCACATTTTTCACAGGGTGAAAGTGAGGCCTTAAAATTTCAGTTAACTGCCCTGGTGTGATTCTGACCTGTGCGTCTGTTTTCTGGGGCAGTGACTGTTTATTTCCGGCCGCATTTTCTCCCACCTAAGTGCGTGCCACCGCTCCGTGGAAGATTTGATGGATATGGACATGAGTCCCCTGAGGCCCCAGAACTATCTGTTCTGTTGTGAACTAAAGGCCAACAAAGATTATCACTTTAAGGTGGATAATAATCAAAATGAGCACCAGTTGTCATTAAGAACGGTCAGTTTAGGGGCTGGTGCAAAGGATGAATTGCACATTGTGGAAGAGGCAATGAATTATGAAGGCAGTCCAATTAAAGAAACACTAGCAACTTTGAAAATGTCTGTACAGCCAACAGTTTCCCTTGGGGGCTTTGAAATTACAGCACCTGTGGTTGTAAGGTTGAAGTGTGGTTCAGGGTCTGTGCATATTAGTGGACAGCACTTAGTGGCTGTGGAGGAAGATGCAGAATCAGATGAGGAGGAGGAAGAGGATGTAAAACTCCTGAGTATATCTGGAAAGCGATCTGCCCCTGGAAGTGGTAGCAAGGTTCCACAGAAAGAAGTGAAACTAGCTGCTGACGACGACAATGATAATGATGATGACGATGAGGAAGCTGAAGAGAAAGCACCAGTGAAGAAATCGATACGAGATACTCCAGCCAAAAATGCTCAAAAATCAAATCAGAATGGAAAAGACTCAAAACCATCAACACCAAGATCAAAAGGTCAAGAATCCTCCCCAAAACAAGAAAAGACTCCTAAAACACCCAAAGGACGTAGTTCTGTAGAAGATATTAAAGCAAAAATGCAAGCAAGTATAGAAAAGAGTGGTTCCCTTCCCAAAGTGGAAACCAAGTTCATCAATTATGTGAAGAATTGCTTCTGGATGACTGACCAGGAGGCTATTCGAGATCTCTGGCAGTGGAGGAAGTCTCTTTAAGAAAACAATTTAAACAATTTATTAAAATTTTGTGTCTTATTTCATTTCTCTAACAGTTGATATCTGGCTGTCCTTTTTTTTGGTACTGGGGATCGAACTCGTATCCTTCCACTTGCAAGGCAGGCGGCGGAACCACTGAGCTAAATCCCCGGTCCCTGGCTGTCCTTTTTATAATGCAAAGTAAGAACTTTCCCTATGGTGTTTGATAAATGTTGTCCAGGTTCCATTGCCAAGAATGTGCTGTCCAAAATGCCTGTTCAGTTTTTAAAAATGGAACTCCACCCTTTGCTTGGCTTTAAGTATGTATGGAATGTTATGATAGGACATAGTAGTAGTGGCGATCAGACATGGAGATGGTGGGGAGACAAAAATATACATGTGAAATAAACTCAGTATTTTAATAAAGTAAAAAAAAAAATCAATTAACTGAGCCAAGTGTGGTGGTGCATGCCTGCAATCCCAGGACTTGGGAGGCTGAGGCAGGAGGATCACCCTGAGATAGAGGCCAGTGAGTTATTTAGTGAGTTCAAGATCAGCCTGAGCTACAAAGTGAGACCTTGCCTCAAAAACAACAAAAAACAGGCTGAGGATTTAGCTCAGTGGTGCTGCTGCCTGCCTCACAGAGCAAGTTCCTGTGTTCAATCCCCAGTACCAAAAAACAACAAAAACTTTTTCAATTAATTGCTCAAAAATCTCATTAGTTTTTTTGTTGTTGTTGTTTGTTTGTTTTTTTTGGTACCGGGGATTGAACTCAGGTCCTTGTGCTTGCACAGCAGGCAGTGAAACCACTGAGCTAAATGCCCAGCCCTTCTCATTAGTTTTATTTGTATTATTAAATATAAAATTATACCCAAATGTAGATACTCTTACCTTGCTAATATATTGAAAAGTTAATTTCTTTTCTTTTTTCTTTGGAGACAAGGTCTCTCTTGTAGTTCAGGCTGGTCCTGAACTCTGAAAAGTTAATTTCAATGATTATTTTTGCTTTTTTGAGACAGGATCTCACTGTGTAGTACGGGCTAGACCTGAACTCACTATGTAGCCCAGGCTGGCCTAGAACTTGAGGTGATGCTCCTGCCTCAGCCTCTTGAGTGCTTGGATTACAGGCATGTGGCACCGTACTGTTTATTTGGCAATTTCATCTTCGCCAATACGACTTTGGTCGGCGCTGGGGGAAAAAAGGGGCGCGTGTCCCACAGAGGCCGGGACCTCCCGGCCCTGGCCCTAGGCACAAGCCTCAGAGGCGAGCTGCAAGGCAGCGGCCCACAGCAGGAAACAGCACACACCACCTTCTCCTCTTGGGTGGCCTTCGTGACTCGGGCAGCAGAGGGCGCCAGGGAGAGCGCCCCGCGCCCCGCCTCCAGACCTTCGCTCCGCGCCCCCGTGACGTATTTCCGTGTAATGAGCCGACGAGCTTCGCTCCCATTGGCTGCGGGCGAGGCACTGGGGCGGGGCCGAGCGGGCGCGAGGGAAGCCTCGCTCCGAGGCGGGGGCGTGGCTTCCCCTTGGCCGCCCTCTGCCGCCCTCCCCCGCCCTCGGGTCTCCCCCGCCCTGGACGCCTGAGCAGAGCGGCGCGAGCGCAGTGAAGGTGGTGTCGGTGGCGGCGGCAGCAGCAGCAGCTTCTTCGCGGGCCGTGTGAGCGCGAGCGCCGGCGACTGAGGGACAGGGAGGGAGCCCGGGCGGCCGAGCGCGCAGCCCTCTGCGGGCATCGCCGCCCGGACCTCCCGGCAGGCAGCCCCGGCCCGCGGCCGCCACCCGTCCCGCCCGCGTTCGTAATCAATCGGGGCGCCGTCGCCGCGCAAGATGCCCAAGAAGAAGCCGACGCCCATCCAGCTGAACCCGGCCCCCGACGGCTCGGCGGTGAATGGGACCAGCTCGGCCGAGTGAGTGGGCCGGGTGGGGCGCGGCCAGCCTTGATTTCCCCTCTCGGCCCTGTCGCCGCCCGAGCCCTAGCAGCTTCTCCCCAGGGGCCCCTCGTACACCCCCGGCTGCTGTCTGACGCGAGCTTCCAGGACTCTGGCCTGTACGGGATGGGGGCGACTGTCCGGGAAAGATTGAGGTCGCATCGGGGCCTTTGACACCTGTCCAGCCCGCGGAGTTGGCAGGAATTGGCATTCGCCAGCCCCATGCTCCCCTCGTGCCTGACACCTGTGGGGCCCGGAGCAGGTCGCTGCCCGGTGGGCGGGGGCAGACTCTCCTGGGGTTTTCGTGTGCTGACATTAGGGACTCCCTGTCCTTGGCCTTCTTCTTGGGAACTGTCTTGCTGGAAGGGAGTGGCATTTCTCTTCATCACATCCTTCATTCGTTCATTCATTCAACAAACTGCTCCTAGCACTCATGAGGCTAAGGCAGGAGGATTGCTGTGAGTTCCAGGCCAGCCTGGGCTACAGAGTGAGTTCAAGACCGGCCTGAACTACATAGCAAGAGTTTGTCTCAAAAAAACAAAAAAGAAAAGCAAACAAACAAACTATGAAGCAAAACCTGTTGCCTCCTGGGTGACTCCAGGGGCTTTCCTTACAGGATCAGGAGCCCTAAACTTACCTAAGATATGAGCACCGTGACCATGGAAACCACACAGGAGGTGCTCCATATTTGCAGCCTCTGATGTTGTTCAGGAACCAGCACTAATTTCAGGAGGCTGTTTTGTGGGGTTTCTGAGTTCCCACAGCACTCTGGGGTCCTGGGTAAGGGACAAGTCTTTGAGGGACAGACACCTGGATGGCTGGAGAAATAACCAGAAAAGATGAGGATTTTTTTTTTCCCCCTAGTGTTGGGGATCCAACCCAGAGCCTTCACACTGAGGCTTTTTACATTTATTTTAAGACTGGGTCATGCTAAGTTTCTACATTGCCCAGGCAGGGGACAAACTTCTGGATCCTCCTGCTTCAGCCTCCCGGAATACTGGGATTATAGGCATGAACCCCACCCTCTGGATCAGGTTCTTAATCTTTCCCTGTATGCCGATGGCTTTAGGAAGCCAACTGGTGAAATGAACAAAGCAGGCTTGACCTCTCCCCTTTGGTGATTTCTGTGACCTCTCCTTAGATTTGAGTAATCTGGACCTGTGGGCTTGGGGACTGTCCCTTGCTCTGCTGAACACAAGCCCAGCGGTGGGCTGTGTACTGTGTGAGCTCAGCCAGGTTCCCCTGCTGCTGCTCCTCAGTACCCTAGTGGCTGTTTTGCCTGGTGTTGACTTGTACATTGATGGTTTGCATTGTAATGTTTGTTCAGTTTTAATGGACGGTACAGTAGTTACTCCCCTAAAACAGACAGCGAGCCCCAGGATAGGGGGTCCCTCAGTAATTTCACTTTTTTCACGGCTAGTTTTGACCACGGTAGATTCTGGCTGAATGTTGGGGCTGGATAATCCTTTGCCTGTTTGATATGGAAGCCGATACTGAGTAATACCCAGCGTCATTCTGTTAATCGTGACATCTTTATTTTTGCAAGGAGATGGGGGGGTTTCATTCAAAGAAAACAATATAAAGAGTGTGAGAAAAAAATGGTAGCAAAATATCGGTGGGACTGGAAGGTTCTAAATAGTGATTGAAAGGTTAGGCTGCATTTGAAGCCTGACTGTTACTGTGGCTTTTATGATCTGTCTCTAGTCTTGCTGAGGCTTGGGGTTCTTTCATTTTTTTCATCTGCAAAAATGGTGCTAATAATAGAACCTCCTTAGGGTAGTTTTGACAGTTAAATGAGCTATTGTATAGTAAGCTTTCCAAAAATGCTGGCCGCCCGGCTTTGTCACTGGTAGAAGCTGAGCAGTGAGGAGGATGCTGGGAGGTAATTTCCATCTGTGGTGGTGGGTGTGTGGATGTGCTCAGTGGTTCTGGACAAACAGCCCTCCCCGGCCTGCTCTTCCGTGCCACCTGCACCCACCTCGGTGACTCATGGCCATGTTACAGTGGGAGGCATCTTGGTGTGGACTCCCGAGAACAAACAGGGCCGGTCCCTGAGTTTCCTAGCATTATTGAGGGTCAGATTGCTGGGATGCTGCTCATCTGGCTGCCAGCAGGGAGAACGCTGTCACCCGTCACCCTCATGATTTCTGCGATAAGACCACACACAGTTTCACAATTTTTTGTTTTTGTTTTCTTGGTGCTGAGGACCCAGCCCAGGGCCTCGTGCCTGCTAGACGTGTGCTCTGCCACTGAGCTGAATCCTTGGCCCCGCAGCACATATCTACACTCCATCAGACTTGTCAACTAGAGAACGCAGAGAGAGCGCTTGGTAGCAAATTGTCAGTGTCACTCATCCCTTGAGTTTACCTTTAGCATGGAGGTGAGCCTGCTTAGAGGTGGACGGGGTGATGTGGGGCCTGAAGTTTGAGCAAGTTGAGGGGAGGTCCGCAAAAGGAAAATTCAAAAATGTCTTTTGCAAGTGGTACAAAAATATATGAGCACATTGCTGAGCTCCCAAGTGTTCAAGTGAAATGTGCCGGCAATAAGGTCATCTTCTTCTTCTGTTCAGGAGGTTTTTCTGGTTCTGCTGCACTTAGAATTGCTGAGCTGCCTGCTGTGCCCCCCTTGCTGCCTGGCCTCCTAACCGTATTTCCTGTGCTCCTCCCCTGCCTTTCACTTCCTCAGGGCAGGACTCGTCTGACCTCCTGGCCTTTGCACATGTTCTTCCCTTTGCCTGGGATGATTCATCGCTCCCATTCCCAGCCGGGGAATGTTGTCACCCCTCTGTGCATTGTCATTTCCTCAGAGGCACAGACCATCTCGGCTAAAGATCCCCCTCTTTCTCATGTCCCTTTTTTGTTGTGTGAGGGTTACTGGATATTGGACCCAGGTCTCTGCACTGACTTATATTCCCCTACCTCATTTATCCATTTATTTTTTTATTATTTATTTTTTTGGGGGTACTGGGGATCGAACTCGGGTCCTTGTGCTTGCAAAGCAGGCAGCAGAACCACTGAGCTAAATCCCTAGCCCTATCCATTTATTTTTGAAACAGAGTCTCGCTGTGTAGCTCAGGTTGGCCTCCAGCTCTTGAGTATCCTCCTGCCTCAGCCTCCTGAGTGCTGGAATTATAGGCATGAGCCACTGTCTCCAGCTCTCCAAAATGCTCGGGTATGTGATCGTTCCTTCTATTGGTTGCAGAGTTGGCAGTCATGCTCGGGCACCACATCTTAGTTATCTTTTCTTCTAGAATCAGACTGTTGCTTCCAGCTCCTTGCAGCCTCAGAGCTCATCCTTGCATGGCTCCTTTGGGTCCTTGGAGAGTTCCCTGCTCAGGAGTGCACTGGGTAACTGAGGACCAGGCTGGTGGTGGAGAACTTGCCTAGTGCGGGAGGCGCTGGATTCCATCCCCAACACCAGAGCAAGGGTTGCTGGGTCTTAGGATCCCTTGCCCCTCCTTCCAAGATGAGTCCACTTTATTATTTTTTTCTTTTAAAATTTAATTTAAGGGGCCAGGGATTTAGCTCAGTGGCACCTTGTCTGCCTCGAAAGTGCAAGGTCCTGGGTTGGATCCCTTGTACCGAAAAAAAAATTTAATTTAAAATTTTGGGGGGCACTGAGGATCAAGGGTAGGGAATTGTGCAGGCTCAGCGGGGGTCTGCCACTGAGCCCCCTGCCCCCCCAGCCCAGGGCACTTTACTTTTCTTTTACTGGGAGCTGAACCCCAGGACCTTCACACTGAGCTACAGGCTTGGCCCTTTTTATGTTTTATTTTGAGGCAGTATCTCTCTAAGTTGCCCAGTCTGTGCTTGAACATGGGATCTTCTTGTCCCAGCTTCCCAGAGCACTGAGATTACAGGCATGCACGACAATGCTGAACCTTTGAACTTTGTGACTCTTAGTCTCCTTACCTGTGAAGTGGGATTGACTGAGATAGCCTCAGAGCCTTATCTGCTCAGGTCGTTCATTTTCTCCTCCTTGACTCTCCCATTCCCCAGTCAGCACTGCAGCACACTGTCCTCTTTAATTTGCCTTTTTTTCCTTCATAGCACTGGCCGCTAGCTAATGTTGCATAATATGCATTTGTCTGTCCCCAGCCCCTCAACATGTCACGATGGTTGGGCTTTGCTTTTCACCTTGCTCTCTGTGTGGAACTGTATCCAGCACAGGATAGGAGCTCTGTGCCTGGGAGCAACCGTTGGGCTGTTCCTGTGAAGGAGCCCCATGCAGATGAAAGAAGACGCCTGTACCTGTGCTTTGAAGGCCACAGGTGCTGAAGAAACTCAGGAGGGGCTGTGCTGGTGGTGTCTATGGTACTGGATTCTGAGCTGTTGCTGTGTAACCTTGAGATGAGAGCTAATTCCTGCACTCTGAACCCATTTCCTGCATCAGCAGTTCTGCCGGGCAGGTTCGGAAGGACACATGTCTGTTACAGCACCAAGGCCCATGAGAGAGGGGAGGGGCCTCGAGGGGGAGGGAGACCTGCCGATGTGCTTGCGGGCCTCCTGTTTCTTCTGAGCTGTGCGCGTGCTCATTAGCAGCTTGTGACTCGGTTTTGCAGTTTTTAACTTGAATGCGTCTGCCTGCTTCTCCCTGTTTTTCGAGTGGTGTCTGTGAAGTCAGTCCTGCTGAACCTGCGTCTGGAGACAAAGCTCTGTGGGGACAGAAGTGCCCAAGATTCAGGAAGATTGTGTGGCCCCCGGCAGGGTGCATGAGGCTCTTGTTTGAACATAAATACCTTCCACTTTCCCTTTGAGTTTAGTTTTTGGGTTTTTTTTTTTTTTTTGAGGCAGGATCTTGCTCTGCATAGCCCAAGGCTGCCCTGAACTCGAAGGAGTCCTCCTGCCTCAGCCTCCCAATTGCTCGGATTACAGGCCCACTCTCCCTTTGAAAGACAGAGGGAGGACACAAGTGTAGCTGTTGGGTCTGCCTTGCCTGTCCAGTGTGATTGTCCCCTTTCCCAGTTTCCACTGAGCACC